ATGCCCTGTGTTCCACTAGGAACCCAAGGGAACAATAATATATATATATGATTGTAATAAGAAATAAGTTATCAACAGACCTATAGCCCTTACATTTTCAGAATTCCACCAACATACAGATTTATACAAAATTCTTGTTGGATTGCCTTCAACAGTTAACTGCATATAAAATGGTCCACATTCACCGAGTTCTTCATCTTCATTAAATGCCTTCTCCATTTCCTTGGATTCACTTTCAATAAATCCGGAATAATGAAATGGACGCCAACCTTCCAGTGAAATAGCTCGCCAATATTCATGACGTTGTGTACACAACAGTTGAGCCTAAAATAAAATAAACACATGAGGATTTAACGAATCTGGACGACCATGAAATGTAAATGCGTCTGCGTCGATTAAGAACAACAATTTCTGGCCATGTCGCGTCGGTGGTACAGCGGTAGAATGCTCACCAACTACGTCACACATGGTCAGGAGTTTGAACTACGGTCACACACTCACTTCTAAGCCTCGCTAAACCGGTAATATGACCAGTAAGGAGGGAGGGTTGAACATGAGACTAGTAACCCAAACCTGTAAAAATGAATATCAGTGCTACCGGAACTTTAAAGCTCTCTAGCTTGAAGCCCGATGTTCCACTAAAAGAGTAAAGGAATAAAATTTGAAAAAATAAAATAAATTCGGCTATATTAACAAAACATTCTCCAACCAATGCCTCATAGCCTCCCCACCCCCCGAGGATCCCAAGGAGAGGCAGTCTACACCTCCCCTCTCGTACGTGTCTGGCTCAAACCAAAAACCAAAGACTTCATGGATTAATGCCAGGTTTTGGTTTGACTAAACTAGTCCAATGAAGAAGAAGGCGATATCTTGGCATGCGTAACACGTGTCCTAGGCATCCCAATTGAACAATAGGAGTAGCTTCATATAATCTCATCTATTTACTCAAAAAGGCTAGTCGTCTTTGATCATAGGTGCCTACATTCTACCTCCCATGTCTGTCTGTCTGTTTTCGACATAGAACTTTCCATATATGTGCGGTAGTTCAAGTCGCCACACTCCATGTAGCACACAAAGCAAGAGAAGAAAGTAGGAGAAATGCATAATAGAAACGGTAAACAGAGGTGTGAGACAAAGGGACAGTAATAACGAAGAACAATATAGCTTCGTCGGAAATTTTAAGGAACAAGGAGTGGATGCATCTGCGCCAGCCATTGACAACGATTTTGAGCCATGTCACCAATTGTTTCCAGCCATTGGTTTTTAGTCCCGAGGACCCCAACCAGGAAGTTCACACCTTCCTACGTGGCTTAGACTAACTGTTGTAGATTTCATTGACTGGTGCCATGTTTTGGTTTGACCGCCATCTGTTAGCTTTTTTCCAACCTGACCCTTTGTCAGCTAAAATTACCCGTTGTCGAGGAAGGCGATGGATAGGAATGCGTAACACATGTTCCAACCATCTCAATGGAAGTAACTTCACAGCCTCTTCTCTTGATTTCCCTTCCTTACCTAGCACTCGACCAACGCCTAACCTCAATATTGCTCACCCTATTACATCTACCACCTAACACGGGAGATAGAACGCAGATACCTATGACCAAAGACAGCTAGCCAGGCTTTCCATGTCTTCCACTCTCAATGGCCATGCATAGCTCACAGCCATAAAGGAGCACGGGGAGGACTGGTGAGCAGTACACCCGCCCTTTGGTCGATAGCCAGCCAGCAGGATATCACGTCTACGCCACAGACGGAGTAAACTAGCATATGCGAAACTAGCCCTCTGTATCCGTCCTGAGATTTCATCAGAGATCAACCCGTTGGGGTTGATGGTACTTCCCAAGTAAGTGAAGTGGTCAACGTGCTCCACCACTTCACTTTCTATTTCTAATCTAGGAGTCGGTGAAGTCCAATCCTGCAGCATCATCTTACATTTTACAGGGGCGAGTCGCTTGCCAAACATACAAAGATGGTTGCTCAAGGTGTTCAGTAGACTCTGCATTTTGCCAGCGTCCTCGCCTAAAAGGACTATATCGTCAGCGTATTCTAAGTCAACGAGATTATTCCCTGGTAGCAAGTCAATCCCTGAGTCGCTGAAGTGAGTTACAGTTACGTCCATTAGTATATCTATAATGAAGTTGAATAGAAATGGTGATAGTGGGCTTCCGTGACGGACACCACTAGTTGTCACCACTTCAGATGACAACTCACCGTAAGCCCTCACCTAGCTGCGTGAGTACGAGTAGAGTGCCTTCACATCAGTGGGATGTATTTTCTCGACATTAAGGCGCTTCATTCGTACTCCTGTGTCAGATTAGGTGGCATAATAGGGTGAGTAATATTGAGGTGAGGCATCAGTTGAGTGTTAGGTAAAGAGGGAAAATCAATGGACGAGATCATGAAGTTACATCGATTGAGGCGATGGTTAGGAAATGTGTTACACAGGGTAGCCTATCCATCGCCTGCCTTCCTCGATAACATGGAATGTTAGCCGCAGGAACAAGATGGATCAGGTTGGAAAAGAGCTAGCACATGGTGGTCAAACCGAAACATGGCTTCATCAGTCAATCAAATCCATAACAACAGTTAGTTTAAGTCAGTCAGCCAGCCAGCCTTGTAGGGAGGTGTAGACTGGCTGTCTCACTAGCTGGTTGGAGTCCTTGGGATGGTAAGAACCAATGGAGGCTGGAGACAACTGATGGGTGATATGGCTCAAAATCATCGTTCTCGGTGATGGCTGGCGCAGATGCATTCACTCTTTCGGACTTATCATATCCAATAAAATTCTATTGTTCTTCAAAATTACTATTCTTCTTCCCTCACTCACACTTCTGTTTACTCTCTTCTCTTGCTTTGTGTTTAACATGGAGAGAGTATGACAAATTGAACCGCTGCACATCTCTGTAAAGTTCTATGTTGAAACCAGTCAGTCAGCTAGTGAGTATCACCAGGTCTCCCCACATTCAATGATAACGTCATACAACCATGAAAAATGACAGGTTGAGTATTATCTACATAAGTCACCAACCATTTGCAGTCCGATACAGTTGGCATTGAAGCCACGCTTATTACATGGGGTATGAGTATAAAACTCCATTATAGATAAGATTTTATTTTGATAAGTCACACAGTAATATTAACTGATGACCGCGTTTTGAGCAGAAACTATTACTGCTCATAATCATATCAAGTCACTGACTCACACAACTTTCTCTTTCATTTACATGCATGTGTGGAATTGACTAGATATTTAAATAATCTCAAAATTCTATTTCAATTCAATTCACGTACATCATAACATTCCAACAAGTTACTTATTTTGACTATAAAAACACTCGTCTTATTTCCCATCTGATTGTATTTGATTGATAACACTCATATTATTATTTCTGAATGTACATTATCTTATATTGATTTGTATTCAAATGTCTAATCATCAGTTTTCACTCATGTATACAAATGAAGCAGGAAAGTTGTGTGAGTAACTTGATACGATTATGAGCAATAATTTGTGCTCGAAATGTGGTCATCAGTTAATATTACTGTACACCACACTGTGTGACTTCATCAAAATAAAATCTTATCCATAATTTATTTTTTTTAATTTTGTTTACAGCCTGATGCCACACCGTATTTTCAGTACAAGTATGGAATTTTCAGCATGGATATCGGCAGCCCAAATTTTGCAGGCCGACCATAGAAATCGGGTGTGCGTCGGCAGGGGATCGAACCCCGGACCATGTGCATGGTCGACAAGAGTCCTAACCATCAGGATTGATGATGTTATCCAGGTTTCTAGGGTCTATACTAGGTGGAGTGGGATTCAGACTCACCGCCCAAAAGTCCAGCGCTTCAGTCGATGAATCACATAACACTATGATGATACAGTATCACTTACTGAATAATGTTTCCGACACAGCTTATGGTACAATATTATAAACACATAACCATCAAGATACGCGTCATAATTTAGTAATTCCATAGAAATTATTATTCCCTTCGGTTCCGAGTGAAACGCAGGAATTCAGCCTGTGGGGGAACATCCCTACTTCACTCTGCTCTCTGCCGTCGCCCATAAGCTTTCATTTCTTCCTCACACAATCTTCTCCACACCACCCTCGGAGCCAAGCCGAACTCGTCACTGCTTATTCGGGTTCCATTCGACGGTGCGGCGCCAAAAAATCAAATCAAATAACACGATAATTCAAAAATATAAAATAGGACGGCGAAACTATGAACATACGCAAGTTTAAAGCATACTTACACGATGAAGATCTCCACCACGAAGGCATAGAAATAAATAATTCACATAACGATCATTATCGATTTGATCTTTTTGATCTAGCTCATTGCCAGTAAGCGTCACCACATCTGGATGCTAATGTATAATGAAAACAGAAAAGGATTCAATAAGAACAAGGAAAAAAGAAATGAAAACGCCACTGGTCGAGAATAAAAGAACAAAAATGATGTTATTCAAGTGCTGGTTTGCAGGGATTCGACTTGATTGGTTACAGGATTTCATCATGAGCTGACATCACCAAGAGAACCTTTAGAAAAACCGCATGGAGTACTGGACAGTTAGTTGTTTCACCTTAGTTTGAGACCTGTCTGTCTGTCTGTTTTCAACACAGAACTTTGCACCGATGTGCAGCAGTCGCCACACTCCATGTAGCACACAAAGCAAGAGAAGAAAGTAGAAGAAATGCATAGTAGAGACAGTAAACAGGAATGTGAGACAAAGGAATAGTAATAACGAAGAAAAAAAGTTTCATTGGCAGTTATGAGTCACAAGGAGTGGGTGCATCTGCGCCATCATCAAGAACGATTTTGAGCCATATCACACACCAATTGTTTCCAGCCATTGGTTTATACCGTCCCGAGGACCCCAACCAGGAAGTTTACACCTTCCTACATGGCGTAAGCTAACTGTTGTGGATTTCATTGACTGGTGCCATGTTTTGGTTTGACCACCGCTAGCTCTTTTCCAACCTGATCCTATGTCAGCAAACATTGCCCGTCGAGAAAGGCGATGGCTATGTATGCGTAAAACATGTCCTAACCATCTCAGTCGATGTAGCTTCACAGCCTCGTTGATTGATTTCCCCTCCCACCTACTTAGCACTCGACCGAAGCCTAATCTCAATATTTTTCACTCTAGTACACCTACCACCTAACACGGGAGATGGAACGCAGACACCTATAATCAAAGACAGCTAGCCAGGCTTTCCATGTCTTCCACTCTCAATGGCCATGCATCGCTCACAGCCATACAGGAGGACGAAGCGGACTGCTGAGCGGTACATCCGCCCTTCGGTCGATAGCCAACCAGCAGGATATCACATCTACGCCACATACGGAGTAAACTAGCATATGCGGAACTAGCCCTCTGTATCAGTACTGAGATTTCGTCAGAAATCAACCCGTTGGGGTTGGCTGATGCAACTTCTCATATAAGTGAGGCGGTCAATGTGCTCTACCACTTTACTCCCTATTTCTAAACTAGGAGTCAGTGTAAACATCATCTTACATTTGGCGGGAGCGAATCGCATGCCAAATATTCGAAGATTGCTGCTCCTCAAGGTGTTCAGAAAACTCTGCTCTATTTTGTCAGCATCTTCACGTACAAGGACTATATTGTCTGCATATTCTAAGTCAACGAGATTATTCCCTGACGGCAACAAGTCAATCTTTGAGTCAATGAAGTCAGTTAGCGTCAAGTCCATTAATACAATATCTGTGATGAAATTGAATAGAAATGGGGATAATGGGCATTGTTGACGGACACCACTGGTCCAAGAGGGTTTAAACCCAGGACCTTCTGGTTACAAGGCGAGCTAGCTTGTAGATCACAAAGCTATTGGAACCAGATCCAATGGCCAATCTATGAATTCCAACTTGTGCCAATTCATGACGAAACAGCTATCTAATTCTCCCAGATTTTCCAATGGTCCTTTAACCGCTGTCAGCTATTCATGAAATAATGATGTTGCTGGTATGTATGGCCCTTCAATTTATAGAAAATCAAAACAAGTGGTGATTCAGCGAAGAGACTCTTTTCAACGAATTTATCATCAAGCTGTACAATCGTAAATACACACAAAGTTTTTAAGAAGTTATATCCAGTGAGGGAATTGAATCATTGGTGTGAATGCATCAAATAATAATAGTAGTAGTATGAAATGCAATTAAAACTAAAATGTTTGTGTTTATAATCATAGATAAATGTCAAGTGGCAAAACAATTAATGTCATATATATATATATATATATATATATATATATATATATATATATAATAGAGTAATTTACCGAAATCACTACGTACCCGACTTATCTGTATTGCTGAAGCTTTGGCTATCGAAACAGAAAAGCCAGATCTCTGTGTACAGAAAAAGTTCGTCCAACCCCTCCAACTTTCATGGTCATAATCCCTTTATGCTATAGTATGGTAATCCCCAATCATATTTTAGCTCTACCAATTTTTCATTTTTGTCTATTCAATTTGTATACTCTTCCTTTATTACGTCCTCAGTATTATTTCACTTGTTCCACTTGTCATTCCAAATCAATTCCTTTTTATAACATTAAATTCTATGCTATCAAATTTCACACAATATTACGTAACGTTTTCATTTTATTCGATTTGTCTACTAATCTTATAATTGCACACCCTTTTTCAAGTTCTATCCATCCTATGAATTATTCTATATATATGACATTAATTTGCTTTGCCACTTGACATTTAACTGTGATTATAATCACAAACATTTTAGTTTTAGTTGCATTTCATACTACTATTATTATTATTTTATGCATTCACACCTTTGATTCAATTCCCTCACCGGATATAACTTCTTAAAAACCATATATATACGATTGTACAGCCTGATGATAAATTCGTTGAAAAGAGTCTCTTCGCTGAATCATTTATTTTGATTTCCTTCAATTTATGGTCACACTACTAGCGGAATCAAAGATGAGTGTATTTCTCCTACTCCATATATTAGCCAGATATTGCCAGCATCCCATTGATTATTGGTCTTCGCATAACCACAACCGCTGAATGGCAGATTATGAATTTGATTTATGGCATGACCAGTTCAACTAAGTAGCTAGCTAGCTAGCCAAGTAGAAATCGGCTGATTTGAACTGATAATTCGGCTCTCTAAGCTGAATCGAACCCCGGATGAGCTCGACCCCGTAAACAAGCGAAACGCCCGTTCGGTGGTGGTATTTAGATACTTTCGATCTTGCTAGCTGGCAAACACTGCTAACTGATATGAGTGGTAATCAAATACCCACGTCAATCAATTGATCAATCAATCAATCAATAGAATGTAATCCTCCCTTGCAGTTACTTACTAAGACTGAGTCGATCAATCTCAATTTGGCACAATGACACTCTTATATAATTAACATATTATGGTTGGTTTGTAAGGATTAGATTTGTTTTTACGAGTTTGACCACGGATTGATATCAGTTAGGGAACCATTGAAAGAAAACCAGCACTGGAGTACTGGACAGCCTTTTCGTCCTAGTTTGGGAATCATCGGCAGTACGCACCCACTACCAGGGTTCAAACCCAGGACCTTCCGGTTACAAGGCAAACTAGCTCGTATACCACTCAGCCACTCACTAGGACCCGATTCAATGGCCAGTCCATGAATTCTAACTTCTACCAATTGCCGTGATGCATTTAGCGCGACTGCCACCAACCAATCGGTAGTCATTGGTGGGAAATCCATCCTCACACCATTGACTGGATGGACCTCACTGGTTACGACTTTTCACTAGAAACTCCAGGAAACTCCATCCTGTAGCCAGTCAGTCACTAGCAAGCATTAGTACTCCCTGGTTGTTTGCAATTCAATGGTTCTCTAAATGATATTAATCCGTGATCAACTCGTAAAAACATACCATAATATGGGTGTTTCTTTCATAACTACAACTCACTGACAGCATAATCAGAATATTGAAATCCTTGTATAACAATGAACAACTGTACTGTACAGCGGACACCTAGATATTCGCTGATAACGTTATTATTATCATTACTGTTATTATTATTTCCTTTAATTCCAAGAGGAACATAGGGCTTCAGCCGTGCGTCTCCATTGCGTTCGGTTCTCTGCTAGAGTCTTCACCTGGCTCCATGTCTGCCCACACGTTTTCATCCCCTCTTCACATGACCTCCTCCAAGTCACCCTCACACTGACGACCAACTCGCCGCTTCCCTTTCAGATTCCACTCAAGGGCTTGTCTAGTGATGTCACTTGATGGTTTGTTTTCTCAGAGTATGGCCAATCCACCTCCATTTCATCCTGCAAATTTTGCTGCATAATCGTTTCCTGCTGGGTTAGTTCACTCGCTCCCAGAGATCCCTCTTTGTTACTGATGTTTTCCGGTCGGCCATCTGATCTTGAGTATTGAGCGAAGGCAGCTGTTGATGAAGGTCTGTAGTTTTTCCAAAGTGGCCTCCGTGACGCGCCAAGGCTCTGATCCGGAGTTGAAAATCCGGACCTTATTTTTCATGCTGAGTGCTGCTGACCTCCACACAGACTTGAGAGTAATGAAAGCTTGCCTTGCTTTCGCGATCCTTGCTTTGATATCCTCGTCAGTTCCACCTGTAGTTGAAACGATGCTTCCCAGGTAGGTAAAGCAGGTTGTTTCTTTCAGGTTCCTCCCATTTATGTTGATTGTTGTCTGTTGTTGTTGGCCAGGAATCTTCATCACCTCTGTTTTCTCTAAGTTCACCTAAAGTCCTATCTTTGATGCTCCTTCTATCGCCAACTTGTTACTTTTCACTTGCATATCTTCCAGTTTGTGGGAAATCAGACATATATGATCGGCGAAGTCCAGATCCTCCAAGTTTTTGCTTACAACGTTAAGAACGTTAAGTTAATTATATACTACGGTGAACAGTACTGCTAATAATTTGCTTAGACAATGATGGTCTAAGAGTTGAACGTCTAGTTAGTCTAGACAAGTGCGTTTTCGACTCTTCAATCGCTGCTGTTGCTGTTGTTTGTTTTGACAACTTCGCGATCTCCCACCAGTGAAATCAACCAATTCCAGTGTAAGGATAAATGCTCACCGAGATGACAACTGACTGGAAGCCGCGGCAAAACTCACAAATTGACAGATGTTAGAACTAATAGACTATTGGATTCCGTTCCAGTGGCTGAATGGTCAATAACCTCACCTCATAACCTGAAGGTCACCCCTCGGTTTGACTTCTGGAATGGTGGTGGTCATGGATGCGTACTGATGAAGAGTTCCAAACTAGGACGAAACAACTTTCCAATACTCTCTGGCAGTTTTCAATGATTCTCTTAACTGAAATCGACTCACGATCAAAATTGAAACGAATCAAATCGCTACAATCTAACACTTTCCACATTAATTTGCACTTCACAGGGATTGATTGTGTTGGATCAAAATACGTGATTGCTGGCTGTTGACATGTTGGCTCCCTATTGCAGACGCTTCAAGGGTGTCTGGAGATGAACATGATGTTGCTTCATGTTAGTTTGTTTATTAGATGTATCACACAGTCAGTGAAACAGTATTAGTGTTTACTGGATGACGAGGTTTCGAACAAAATTTATTACTGTTCATAATCATATCATCAATTATAATCACACGACTTCGAAACTTGGGTCGTATAGTTTTCTTTGTTCTCTCCTATCTGTCGTCGTTGGGGTAGTAGAATTTTCCAGATATCCTACTGGACAGGTGTTGAATCATTCGTATTTCACGTATTTGCAGTTGATTCGATAAGCAACGCTTGTGTAATCAATCTCTCCCTCCCTCCACCCTGCTGTTACATTAGATAATAAAACTGTCATCCTATCCCATCCATCCTATTTTATGGTTGTGTGTAATTGCACGTAGTGGGTGGTATAGCTGAACTATCCTCTAGATTTCTTGTCTTATTCGGGTCAACTAATCTAAATTTTGCTTGGTTTTTATGCTCGGCTAGTCCGACTACCCCTGTTCTACTACTTTGACCTATGTATTTGACCTGACAATCATTCCATCAGCGTATTAGATAGACTAATTTGTTTTGTTTTAAAGGCTCCACAGGATTGATCCTGTAACCGACAAAGCTTGTTTCTAATTGAGTTTGTGGGTTTGAATGCCAGCCACCTTTATTCCTGCCAGCATTGTTAAGAGTTCTGCGTAAGATGGTTTCCGAGGTTCCTTCCTTGTATGGAATTACTACTGATGATTTAGATTTCTTATTGTTGGTGTTGTCTTGCGCATATTTGACATGCATGTCGTCACTGTTATTATTATTATTATCACAATCACTACTATCATTATTTATTTTACTTTTACATTTCCCTACATATTTCCTGATCAATTTATCACGGTAATTATTAAGTTTCAAGGCTTCTCTTATATGTATCACTTCCTGTCTTAGATTTTCCTTGGTACTTCGTAGTTTTTGTGCTCTGTCACTTAAACATTTCACTAATACTGTTTCACTCATTGTGTGATATATCTAATAAACAAACTAACATGGCATTACTTACTACCACAGTGCCGAAGTTTTACACATATATGAACATGATGTTGTTTAGGTTGGTAGTGACTACCAATGTCATCCTAAACACTTGTTTCGTCCCTTTGAGATTCCTCATCCAGATTTGCCCAGTTTTTTCAATATCAGTGCATGCCAGGTGGACTATAGGTCTTCAGGCTTGTTTTTACCGGGTTAGGTCGCTAGCCTGAGGCCTAACCTTAACTCTCTCTCAGACTTGCTGATATCTAGTAAAAATTAAGCGAGGTCTAGGAGTGTGTCGGCGGCTAGGGATCAAGCCCCAGACCACGTAGGTGGCCCGTTGGTTTAGTGGATAACACTTTGGAGGTGCTGGTGCTTTCACACTGGAGATGCAAGTTCATTCAGCTGGCGACTCCCACTGCTAGTCACCCATCATCAACCAAAATAACAGCATAGTGTTTATTTCAAAAAGGGGAAGACAGTGAATAAAGGAACATACCAATTCTTTGACTAAACGGCGCTTTGTAAGTTCTGATTGTGGAAGATAATCCAGTAGGTGTGCTGTGTTCTCCCTTCAGAAGAAAAAAGATACATAGATAGATAGATAGATAGACAGTACGATGATTACTTTGATAAACGCCAAGAACGACAAGCGAAAACACCAAAATAAGAACAAAGAAATCATGACCCTTTATTCTATTGTAACCAGTGAAATCGTAATTGTCTTTCTGAGCATTCTACTCAAACAAACTCGTCCTAAAAATGCGCACCAGTCAATGAAATCTACAACAGTTAGTCTAAGCCACGTAGGAAGGTGTAGACTTCCTGACTGGTTGGGGTCCTCAGGATGGTAAAAACCAATGGTTGGAAACAATTGGTGACATGGTTCAAAGTCCTTCTCAATGGATGGGTGCAGATGCATCCACTCGTTGTGACTTATGATTTCCAATGAAATTGTTTTGTTCTTCGTTATCACTATTCCTTTGTCTCACACCTCTATTTACTGTCTATATGATGCATTTCTTCTCTTGCTTTGTGTGCTACATGGAGTGTAGCGATTCGAACTGCCGCACATATGTGCAAAGTTCTTTGTCGAAAACAGACAGACAGACAAAAATGCACTATCCTATGAGCCACATTTCTTACGTGACCACTGATTCTACAGTCCAGGCTAATTTAGATGGAGAAGGACTCTAACCTAGCATCTACTGGGTCCCGACCGATAGCTGCTACCTTGACATGGTGGTCGGGTTTGCATATTGCAATAACACAACAAGCTACACTGGCTAGAACTATAGTTCCTGCAGGTCCTACCATGCTAGGAAGGTTGTTAGGATAACGATTAGACTAAAAGCAGTTACCGGAGCAGTGTAAGAATTTTTCTTTTTTACACTATGCTTGGGGTCTGTGGGCGAAGTCGTAGTACCGCTGTGGAGGACAGGGATGTAACAGCAGTAAGGTGTTTCCGTCAGATGACCAGCATGCCAGCCAGCTATGCTGTCTCTCCACTCTGGAGGGAGAGACGGGGTTAGAAAAAGTCGACCCCAACAATTGTACATTCCGACTTACCCCACCTACCGTAACCAGCGGTAAGTTTACTAATACGGAACCAAACCAAGAAACCAGTTCATACAGGCCATGTGTGACCGGCAGGCCTCAAGCAGTTGTCCCCCTGGGCTATGCGGTCATGCAACACTAACCCTCTTTCCGTTTCAGGTACCTGAAGAATCAAGCAACTTCTACGGTTGGTTGGGCAGCTGGGAAGTAAAAACCGCCAAAACACTTCCAAAAGTACACGAAGCCCTCCTGACCTACTGGATGGGTGACTGGCTTAAGCTCTCAACTTCTACAGTCAAAAGGCCTCGGGTTCGAGTCTCGCTTTCACTATTTCAGTTTTGATAACTACGTAGTATCATTAGCCTGAAAGGACAGGTAACGAGGAATTCTGACAGTTAACCGACCAACCAACCAAGAACTTATCTATGCTATCACTCAAGAAGTATGCAGAAGCAAACAGAGACACATTAGAGGATATACGCGCGAGGAGACCACTATTATTAATGAAACCTGCTTCCCTGGATTTACTACAAATGATGTTCTAAAATGTCTCCAGTCTATGAACCCTTCTTGTAGCCTGGGTCCAGATGGTTTGCCTGCAGTCTTGTACCATAACATTGATTCCAGCTTAGACAAGAGGGCTAAATTTGTTCGCTGCACCTTTCTAGATTATACATCTGCTTTCGACTCAGTACATAGGGACATTTTACTAAACAAGCTTGCTGAAACTCAAACTGACTGTTGGGTTGTCAAATGGCTCCATTCGTATTTCTCAGGAAGAAAGCAATTCACTGTACGTCAGGGAAAGTCATCCACTTCGTTGCTTACTGAGGCTGGTGTCCCTCAAGGCACTGTCCTTTCTCCTTTTCTGTTTTCTTTCTTCTTGCATGACTTGCCTCACTCTGATGAAATGAACTTTGTTAAATATGTCGATGATCTAACTATTTCAATGTCTGTTAACTCTCAGCTTGACTGCACTAAGATAAACAACTTTCTATCAGGAATTAGCAAATGGTCTTCGTCTAACGGCCTTAAACTTAATCCTTCCAAATGTCAGACTGTTAATTTCAGTTTCCGATGTAAACGAAAGTTAAATGAAACCGTTGGTTCCTATGACCCTTGCAAAATCGATGATACTGATATAGAAATCAAGTCTGAAGTTAAGTACCTTGGATTAATTCTCTCCTCTGACCTATCCTGATCCTCTCATGTCTTAGCGATTTCAAAGAGAATATTTCGTTTGACTTTTTACATTAAGAAGTTGAGGCATTCAGGCATAACTCAACCAACGCCTCCTCTTACAGTTTGTCAACTCGTATATTTTACCTATCCTTCTTTACTGTTCACCCTTATTTTTTCTTGGATTACTTAAAAAAGACTATGTCATACTTCGTAGAACTCTGAAGACTGTCAGTAGAGCGAGTAGTGGTATTCCATTGAGCTATATCGCTGACATTGTCATTGATAGGCACTTGATGTCATGCAACAAATTCGCTAAACGAATTTTGTCAGACTGTGAGCATACCCCACTTAACTCGCAGCTCCAACCTTGTGTGTTTTCGTCAGGTAAAACAAGAAGTCTTTTCAGAAGACTTTATGCACGTACGTCTAAGTATAAAAATTCCACTATACCATATTTGCGGGCACGTACTTTATGTGATGAAAATAGTGTCAGACATGAACTAACTAACCATCTTAGCACCACTAAATAAACCATTTCCTTCACCCTTAAAGCATCATTCTTTATTGTTATTGTATTTCTCATATTTACAATCCTCTCAATTTTTTCGTTTTGTTTATTTCTTTCATAAGTTTGGACATAATTTTAAGTTATATTATAACTGTTAATTTTGTATTTCCCCTCACTATACTATATTAACAGAACATTAGACCCAATAATCTATAACACGCTAAAGTTTCCAAACTGAATCGACAATACCGTTTGAAGCAAACTCACTGCTGTTATTATTATTATTATTATTATATCTAATAATTATGTCGTAAATGTGGACAAATTCCTTCGATTAATTTTGTTTTAATTTATATATATATATATATATATATATATATATTGAGTAAATCAGATGCAATATTGTGACAAATACTGAGAATTCCATTCTGCATTACAAGTACTGTTTTTGGAATAAAGTAAATTATTATTATTATTATTATTAAGTGACATCACGCGCCAGGCAGACCCTCGAGCCGATCCCAGATGGCACACGACAAGTAGGGTCTAGGTTTGAAGATAATATGGAGTAGATTGTGCGAGGAAAAAAGGAAAGCTTACGTGCAATCAATAGCGCCAGCAGAAAAGACTTCAGAGAAAGCAGTGAAGTGGACAGATATACTTCTCAAGGCCTATTTTCCACTCGCAACCCAAAGGAACAATAATAATAATACAGCCCTGTTACTTGACTAACTGATATTCAACCAACACAGACAAAATAGAAAGGACAAGACATATAGGCGAACAATATTCTTGTTTTCAATAAGATCTTCTTCCTCAGGCTTCACTCTAATTTACATAGATTTATATTTAAAATTTTTTAACCAATGACGGTGATTTTGTGGATCAAACTGACAGCAGTTAAAAATAAACAACTGTTCATGAAACTGAAATTTAACGGGGACGCGGCTAGCGAAGTCTTACATCTGAGGTTATCGAGAGCGATAAAACGGACTTATACTGCCGCCACCCTTTGTTTGTCATTTTCCAGCCGACCAATTTTGATTGCTCAAGTGCTCAAGACAAGCTACCTAGCTGTGCCACTTCTATGTGTATCTATAAATTTAGTTGCTCCTGTGGAGAGAGCTATGCAGGGCGAACAACTAGACAGCTTAACAAACGCGACATTACTGAGCATCTTCCTTCATGGTTCGGAAAAGGTCAAATAAAATCCATACGAAGTTCTATTTTGGCTCATTTGACTGATAGTGGTCACCAAGTGGACAAAAATAGTGCCTTCAAAGTTATCTATCTCGCATTCCATCGAGCCTTTCGAACGGAATTCGAAACTGCCAGTTAAACACATAGCTAAAGAGGCTATGGGAATTAATTCGAGAGAACAATCCTCGTCTTTGCATACAACAAAAGAAGTTTGTGCAACCTTTGTCTCTCCCTTGCTTGCCTAGATGAATTCTAATCAAAACCCTCCCACATGCTTCCTTATTTTCCATTTCCTTCGTACTTTTATGATATTTATTTAAACTCTGATTATCTATCTGTCCACTTCACTTTTAGTATTACGTAACTTTAAAGATTTGACCTAATTTATTTATTGAATTGTCTACATATACACATATTACTACCTTTGTTATTCTAATGGCCACCTGCATAAACCTTATTATCATTATTTTGTTATCATTATAATCTTCGTTGTTAATTACGTTCAAAACATTTACCACATTATTATTATTATTATTATTATTATTATTATCATTATTATTATTATTTGATCCACAAAATTACCGTCATTGGTTAAAAATTTTTATATATAAAGAGTTATGTAAATTAGAGTAAAGCCTGAAGAAGATCTAATTGAAAACCACAATACTGTTCGCTTATATGCGTCTTGTTCTAATATTAAAAATAGAAAGGCCCATTCAGTAACATACAGCATATAGGGTAATCTTTCACTAGGATATGTAGATTACACAGTATCCTAAAAACTAACCACCCAAAAGAGATTAGAATGATGAGACCCACTTATTTATTATTATTATTATTGTTCCCTTGGGTTCCTAGTGGAACATAGGGCTTCAACTACACGTCTCCACTTGCTGCTTCTCTCCTCTGCTGTACTTTTCACTTGCATCCGTGTTAGTCCATACTGTTTCAACTCTTCTTCACACGATCTCCTCCATGTCATCCTCACGCTGACGTCCCACTCACCGCTTCCCTTTCGGGTTCCACTCGAGCACTGGCCTGACGCGCGATGTCACCCAACGGCCTCCTCAGCGAGTGAGTGTCCAATCCATCTCCACTTTCTCCTGCATATTTGTTGAGAGATTGGTTCTTGTTTTGTCTGTTCCCATAGTTTATTGTTGGTTCTTGTTCTTTCCGGCCATCTGATCTTCATTATAGAGCGACGAAGACAGTTGTTGTTGATAAAGGTCTGCAACAGGCTGTTGGAAATATTCTTTGTGACACGCCAAGTTTCTGATCCATCCGTATAGAAGAACTGACTGACTTGACATTTGTATTGAAAATCCGAATTTTGTTGTTGATGCTGGGTTGAGTGACGAAGATTTCCAGATTGGTTTCAGGTTGATGAATGTGTTTCTCGCCTTCCAGATTCTCGATTTGACATCCTCGTCGTCCGTTCCTCCTGTAGTTGAGACAATGCTCCCTACCTAGATAAGTGAATGAAGTAACCTCTTTCAAATCCCTCCCGTTGATGGTGATTGGCGCTGGATGTTGCTGCTGTTGTTGTTGTTGTTGGTTGGTTATTTTCATAAATTACTAGCTCGCTAGTTTTCTAGCCGGTCCCAAGCCCGGATAAAGAGGGAGGGTTGGGGGGGCGTGGTGCTAGCAACTCCACCCCCAAAACATAACCAAATTGCTACAGAAACTTCAACGCATAAATGAGACCACCCACTAACTAGAGGAATAACAGTGAACACTTCTACAATTTAAAAAAAAACTGCATTACCAAGCTGTTGTCTGATTAAAAAGGCATTCATATCTTTCGGCGACTTCTTCAATTTGTTCACGAACCAGCAGTTCTAGCCAATCAATCAATATCTGAAAATAAATGTGGAGCATAGACACTTAGCCAGTGTACATACAGCTGAAGAAGGCATAGACAGAAACAAAAACATAAACTAACTCTAAAGTTCTAGGCTCAATAATAATGCGTAGACTAAGCGGTCTACGGGAGGAACAAATACGAGAGAACCAGACAGGCTTTAGACCAGGAAGGTAGAGGGTGTATTGATCATATCTTCATCCTTAGAGAGATTCTGGAAAGAAGATAGGCATACTTACCGCCGGCGTCCAACAATCGTCATATTTCTTGACGTAAAGGCGGCATTCGAGTCTGTCGACCGAAGGGCACCATGGCGATGTTTGGCTGTGAAGGGAGGGAATGCCGAGAAAATATATTGCACTGATGTGAAGGCACTCTAGTCGAACCCATTTAGCAGTCAGCCAGGTGAGAGCTTACGGCGAGTTGTCATATGAAGCTGTGGTGTGTGTGTCAGGGATGCACACTATCACCCATCAATTGTCTCCAGCCTCCATTGGTTCTTACCATCCCCAGGAGCCTAACCAGCTAGTCAGACAACCAGTCTACACCTCCCTATGTGGCTGGCTGGCTGATTTAAACTAACTTTTGTTATGGATTTCACTGACTGATGAAGCCATGTTTTGGTTTGATCACCATGTGCTAGCTCTTTTCCGACCTGATCCATCTTGTGCCTGCGGCTAACATTGCATGTTATCGAGGAAGGCAGGCGACGGCTAGGCATGAGTAACACATCTCGATTGATTTTCTCTCCTTAGTTAGCATTCGACGCCCAATCTCAATATTACTCACCTTGTTATACCACTTAACACGAGAGATAGAACGCAGGCACCTATGATCAAAGACAGCCAGCTGGCCTTCTCATGTCTTCCACTTTCAATGGCCATGTCTCATCTGCAACCATAAAGGGGGATGGGGCGAACTGCTGCTATTAGGCACACACTTCCTTTGATCGACAGCCAGCCAGCAGGATATCACGTCTACTGAACCCAAGATGGCCTAAGTCCACTAATAAATACCAAACGAGGCTTCTGTATCCGTTCTGAGATTTCGTCAGCGACCAACCCGTTAGGGCTGGCTGATGCAACTTCCCAAATAAGTGAAGTAGTCAACACACTCTACTATTTCATTATGTAGGCACTCTTACCTGGCTGCTAAATGGGTTCGAGCAGAGTGCCTACACATCAGTGCGATGTATTTTCTCGGCATTCCCTTCCTTCACAGCCAAACATCGTCATGGTACCTCTCGGTCGACAGAATCGAATGCCGCTTTCAGATCAAGAAATAAATATGACGATTGTTGGACGCCGGCGGTAATTATACTTAGGTTTTAGACTGTCTAGTTTAGAGATCAGTAGAAAGCCCGGTAAAGAGGGGAGGTTGAGTGTGTGTGAGGTTACCGATCGCCCCAACCCCCCCCCCGCGTAAACACAATACATCACACACACAGTCACTGAAACTTTAAGGCGTGCAACCCTCTATTTCATTTCATTCCGAATACAAGAAATGGGGAAAAAGCATCACACATTACCCATGCAACTCACCTGTGTTTCACGTAGTTCACTATCCTTTTCATACAGTAGCCGGATTATTTCCTTTTCTGAATGATTAAAATTCTAACAAATATACAGAATAAAGGAAAAAGAAAAATATGTATATACAATGATTAAGGATGGAGTATTTGAATATGTATTTCAAATCCCATAACACACTTTAATATCTGAAAGTTTAGACAATTGAGCCATATTATTATTTTTTTATTTAAACGCCGAAAAACTTGGTGCAATATGTCACCAAGAAGATGTGCTACACAATAATGGCTGCATGGCTGGATTCAACATAGAACTTGGCACCGAAGTGCAGCAGTTCGAGTTGCCACGTTCCAAATACCACACAAAGGTAGACAAGAAAATGAGTGAAGAGAATCAATCGAGTTTTGACAAGTATAAGAGTGAAACAGAATGATGAGTAATGGTAGAAAGGAATATGAAAGATTACACAAGAGACTGAATACATCTGCGTAAGCCATTGACAACGATTTTGAGCCATGTCACCTATTGTCTCCAGCCATTGATTCTTAGAGTCCCGAGGGCGGGCCTGAACCCGGAAGTCTGCATCTCCCTACCTGACTCAGTTTAACTGTCAAGGATTTCATGGATGGATTGATGCCATGTTTCTGTTTGGCCACCACTTACTCTTTTCCAACCTGCACCTATATCAGCTAGTAATGCCCATCGGGGGAGGCGATGGTTATGCATGCGCAGCACGTGACCTAGCCATCTCAATCTATGTAACTTCATAGCCTCTTCGATTGATTTTCCCTCTTTGCCCAACACTCTACGCCTAACGTCAACATTGCGGACCTTATTATACCACCTAACGTGAGAAAGAGATCGTAGACATCTATGATCAAAAACAGTCAACCTTTCATGTCTTCAACTCGTATTGGCCATGTTTCAGAGCCATAGAGAAGGACGGAGCGAACTGTTGAGCAGTACACACGTCCCTTGGATCCAAAAAGCTCGGCCTGCTTTCGCTAACTTACACCGTCTCTGGCGTCGGCGTGACATCCGACTATCAACCAAGGGACGTGTGTACTGCTCAGCAGTTCGCTCCGTCCTTCTCCATTGCTCTGAAACATGGCCAATACGAGTTGAAGACATGAAAGGTTGACTGTTTTTGATCATAGATGTCTACGATCTCTTTCTCACGTTAGGTGGTATAATAAGGTCAGCAATGTTGACGTTAGGCGTAGAGTGTTGGGCAAAGAGGGAAAATCAATCGAAGAGGCTATGAAGTTACATAGATTGAGATGGCTAGGTCACGTGCTGCGCATGCATAACCATCGCCTCCCCCGATGGGCATTACTAGCTGATATAGGTGCAGGTTGGAAAAGAGTAAGTGGTGGCCAAACAGAAACATGGCATCAATCCATCCATGAAATCCTTGACAGTTAAACTGAGTCAGGTAGGGAGATGCAGACTTCCGGGTTCAGGCCCGCCCTCGGGACTCTAAGAATCAATGGCTGGAGACAATAGGTGACATGGCTCAAAATCGTTGTCAATGGCTTACGCAGATGTATTCAGTCTCTCGTGTAATCTTTCATATTCCTTTCTACCATTACTCATCATTCTGTTTCACTCTTATACTTGTCAAAACTCTATTGATTTTCTTCACTCATTTTCCTCTCTACCTTTGTGTGGTATTTGGAAGGTGGCAACTGGAACTGCTGCACTTCGGTGCCAAGTTCTATGTTGAATCCAGCCACAGCATTTTGTAGATAGTATTAATTTTATCAACATGTATATATAAATATGCAAAATGTTTCACTTGAAAATTGTAAGAGACATACAGATAGATCACTGCTTTCAGTTGTTCCAGTCTTCATTTCAGATTGAAAACGGTCTAAATAAATACTGGAAATAAGACTCCAGGTATTTCTTTCCAAATTGATCATTTCTGTTACACTACGAATATTAGGTAATCTATAGTAGAATAAAATTATTATTATTTTTCTGAAACTATTCTTACCCTCTACGATGAGAGAGTTTTGTAAATATCTTAGGTAATCTTTGGACAGTTTTATAGCAAGCATCTCTATACTGTACAGGGATTTCTGATAAAGATGTCTGAGAATTTTGCCAAACATTACAAAAATGAGAATAGAGACTAGATCCATCTACAAAAAGAGAAAAATAGTTTTTGTTGTATAAATATAGCTGATAAAGTACCGAAAATTTCTGGATCGTCATCCATCAACTGTGTAGTGTTGGCAGTCTTTTTGAAGTCATTGTTTACCTATCATTATAGAGGGTCAGATTGACACCAGACAAAACTCACTTCAACCCAAGAATTCATTAAGCTAACTCCAGTCATTTTACCCGTCTAGGTAGAAAAGAAAATAAAAAAAAAAAGAAGACGATTATTCTTACATTAAAATACCAACAAAAAATTAAACTCAATTCATGTGAAGGTCGGTTGGTTTTCGACATAGAACTTTGCACATATATGCGGCAGTTCAAGTCGCCACACTCCCTCTTTGTAGCACACAAAGCAAGAGAAGAAAGTAGGCGAAATGCATAATATAGACAGTAAACAGAGGTGTGAGATATCACGTCTACGGCAGAGACGGCGTAAACTGGCATATGCGAAACTAGCCCTCTGTATTCGTGCTGAGATTTCGTCGGAGATGGTTGGAATTCATGTGAAGAAGCTATTCGGTGGTTTTACGTTATGATTTTAAGTTAATAAGGCCAATCTAGTAAATAATAAGCACCAAAAAATGCCAAGACACTTTTCTGAGAGCTACTCAATCGATTTGCCTTTTGTGTAACAGATGAAGCTACTAAAGCAAAGGCTTTTGTTAAAAGACAAACACGACCTGTCGAATTTAAAAATTACTAACACAATATTATCAACTCTAGGAAGATAATAACAATTAAACATACTTAGCCAATTTTAACAGAATTTCCGAAAGAAAGTGTTAAAAATTTGCATTGCAACAGTGTAGGTGACCCAGAGTCGTGTGTATTACCAGCACTTCTTTAAGATGATTGCAACTATCATCCGTTATATTGCTGGATATACGGACCTTCTGAGTTGAATTTTCAACGTAGAAGTGCACAGAAGTATACCAATTCACACTTTAAGAAATAGAAAATGCACAGCAAATATACTACAGGGAAATGTACACAGGAAAAGAGGATTCAGTGGACCTATAAGATCATAAGAGGTGAGTGAATCTTCACCAGTGACAACGGTTTTGAACTGTGTCACCAAGTCTCTAACCATGGGTTTTTAGCATTCCGAGAACCCTAACTAGGCAATCTACAACCCCACCTACTTCGCTCAAACTAACAGCCAGATATCACGGACTGATGCCATATCATGGTATGAGACACTCTCTTTCAACCTAATCCTATTTCAGTTAACACAGCTCAACAAGGAAGGCGGTGGCTTGCCAAACGCAACACGTGTCAGTCATCACAGTCGATGCAGATTTGAAACTTCATAAACTGTCTCTTCTTCCATACCTAATGCTCTACTCAATACTGACATCATATCACCTAGGACGAGAAATAGAACTCTAACACTTAGAATTAAATACGAATAGTCTCTTCATATCCTCCACTTTCAATGGAGCATACCATCTATGAATCCCCTTCGACATATTGAAGAAAAACTCTCAATCGTACATGATGGAGATATTGTGGCTATTATTCACACAAGTTGCTCAATGAATGCACTTCTTGAATGCTAGAAACGTTAACCAGTAGTTAAACGTGATAACAGACATCAGGTTTAAAAAGATATAACCTCACAGGACAATTCAGTATAGCTTAAAGAACTGAGTCAGAATATAAACGGATCTCGAAACATTATGATCTCTAATCAACTTGTTACCAGTTTTGCGACATTTATTGCTGATTAATTCTGATTACCTCATTAAGATTAGGTGTAAAATCGATAAGGATGGTTGTTTTGATTAAACTTCACCAGCGATTCCTTTCAAAATGGAATTTTCATTCCCCACTGTCCCCTTTCATCTTCACAAATTCTTTCGAAAATAAAATGTACCTAACAGTCTGAGTAATTAGTATTGTAGTAACGTAACGAGAGTAATTAATTATACCTCTGCAGTTGTAGAAATTATTTAGCATACTATGAAGTATATGACCATAATTGTCATACGCAGAGACCACTATACAAAAACATACTAACTAGACATAGTATTGCAAGTGATGTCAAACACACATTCGTGTGGTTTGCCAAAGTGTGCTGAATGACAACTTAAAATGGTAACAAGCACGTACATCATAGAGAATATCGTTCTAATTCCATCAAGATTCAGTTATATCTGTATTGCGTACACGATGATAGAAATGGTAAAAAAATCGGTGATGTGATTTTTCTTTTACTGTGACTAAAATCTGACCAATGTTCGATAATTTTGACCATTATTCAACCAATATCTTGCCAAAATTTAAAAGATGCCCTTAAATTGTTCAGCCACTAATTTCTCATTTTAACCATTATTTAAGCAATGTTCTCCTCCTTGTACCATCATTTAACTAGGAATTTTTCCACTACATCGCCATCCTTACCATTTGTGTAAAGTGTCTACTTTCAGCTCTATTTAGCCCCTCCTCATCCATTTTTGTACGAGTAGGTAATATGACAACAACAGGATGAGAAAAATATTGTGACGTACGCACCTAGGAAGTAAGGAGGCATGAAGCATCAGGAAAATAATGACTAACAAGTACAGTGACTAAGATGTATCCACACGGAGATTTGTACCCAAGCTTATAACAATCCCAAACTTATTCTAACCTATTCTTCGATAATGGCTTTTTATGTTATATGAAGATTTTTGATCTACCCAGTATGCTCTGAAATAATGCTTGCCGTGCTTAAAAAGAGAGCTGGGTGCTGAAGTAACGTTAGTCGGTGCTTAATAAGTTCTGTAAGAGCTGGAAACACGCTGATAAGCAAACCCAGTAGGTTCTGATCTTCTTCTGAAAATGCCTAGAAAAAGAACGCGGTGCTGAATTAGTACCATTCATGCTGAAAACCAGAACTGAGTTCTAGTCTGTGCCATTAAAGAATCCATTTCACAACAGATTCAGAATTCACTCACTAGAGAATGTTAGAATTATGTCAGAATTAGTGAGATTTAATTCAGCATTATAGTAAGCGTTTTATTTTTAACAAGTAACTGCTAGCATATTCTGTTTAAACGATACTACCATTGTATTTTTATTTAAATCTCAAAAGATACAAATTGCGTGAAAACTCAAACAGTAAAATACCCTTCATATATTCCAAATAAGGAACAATGTAAATAACTAAACGTCTAGAACGATATTCATGCACCCAGCTGCCCTTGAGCTGACCTTGACATTGAATTAAGTTTTGACTGGTTAGGCACTGATCTATAAAAACAACAGATTGGAAGTTCATTAAAGTGTAGTCCTTAAAGTAAACGTCTGATTGTAAAATTTGCCATTTAATTTGCAATGTAAGCTTGTTCATCGAAGTTAGTGAGATGGACTTTGTATTTGTCATATTAAAGAGTAGTCTTGTTCAGATATGATTCAGATTCAGGTTTATTGGTTGAGGATAGAAGGCTTGGAGCCTATGTTAGTCCTCTCCTAGTAAATTTCTGTGGTTGTACAAACCCTTCTTGAATGAATCAGTTGAGGTTGCAGACGCCACGTCTTCCGGGTGTTGGTTCCAAGAGTTTATGACTCGGTGTGAGAACCAATACTCAACAGCAATATGATTTCTTCTTGGATTTTGAACTCTCCTGCTATACCCTCTAAAGTGTTCCGACCTGGTGGAAAGGTAATAAGTAATAGGTCAGGTCCGTTGTGATTGCTTAAAATTCTAAACACTATGATCAGATTGTAGTGACCCGTTTTATTACTCATCATCGCAGTATACTTTCACTATGTAATTGTACTTTGCTTTGTTTATTACTCTAAATCATGCATGTTAACAATTGATACTTTTTGTACTCGCTCGATTTTTGAATTTTGATTGCTGCAATAATACACTGTCGTATTCCTTCGCAAGTGCCTTTTGAATTACGTTGTGGATGTCGAGTAATCACAACGTTAGGACACAAATATAAACGCGAAGAAGTACTAAGATATACGTGTATTCTAGTTCAGTCAAAATATAGCAGCAACAAATTGGTGAGCCCTACGATAACTTGCTGACTCCGACGACGACGACTTTTGACCTCGACGCGTTGTTACACTTGTTGGATTAATAAAACTTTAACCTTCGTGGATCTATATATTTATTAGATATTCCGAACTCATTCTTGTGTTTGCTCATCACACAACCTGCAGTAATTTGTGGTAAGCACCTGCATTGCATTTTTCTGTTTTGCCATATTCTTATTGTGCACAAATTTTGCTATTTTGTTACTCTTAAACCAATTTTTTACGAATTGTAACATGTCTTCCAATACCTCTGATAACTTAGAGCTGGGATCTGTTAGTGCTATCTCTCTTACTGTACCAGTTTTTAAGCCCAGAGACCCTCATCTTTGGTTTGCTCGACTGGAACATTATTTGGCTAGCAATAAGCTCACGTCACAGACAGCTAAATTTGGCATTTTGAGTACAGTGCTACCAGACGAAGTCGCCGAGCAGGTACGGCAATACATCGTTCATCCCAGCACAGAAGCGCCTTACGACAAGTTGAAGGAAGAGGTACTGCGATGCACTTCGCTTTCAGATAGGCAAGCACTCGATCGCCTGTTAAGCAATGTTGAGTTAGGTGATAAAACCCCATCTCAACTCATGAGGCATATGCAAAGCCTAGTTGCAGGAAGAGAAATCGATAAACGTCTCTTTTATCAAATCTGGCTGCGACGACTTCCTCAAAACATCCAGCAGGTTCTTGCTTTCGGAGACGACGACATTGACATAGAAAGGCTCACTGAAATCGCGGATCGCATGTACGAGAGGTCAACACCTCAATCTGTCGCTTCCACTAGCAGAATACCAGATAAAGTTATCACGATAGACCCACTGAATAAAGCAGAAGCCATCAGAGTCGATAAAACGTCAAACGAACGCATAGAAGCCTTAGAACGTAAAATCGACGTGCTCACTGAGCAATTAATGGCAATGGGGGTTAGTAGACAACCTACCACAACGTACAGAAGACAACGTAGCCACTCACGCAATAGGCGTAAATATAGCTTACAACAGAATATATGCTGGTATCATCGCAAATTTGGGGTACACGCAAAACGGTGCACACAACCTTGTGCTTTCCAACAAACGGTGGCGTTGGGAAACGAAAAGGCCGGCGGTCGGTGACGACTGCGGTCGCTGGCCAACACACGTCCTACAGCCGTCTATTCAGGGTGACAGACAAAACAACGGGGGCACAATTCCTGGTAGATACCGGTGCAGAAATTAGTGTAGTTCCCCCAACACCCAACGAACGCTTACAACCAAACCCAGCATTAGTTCTCAAGGCTGCGAACAATTCTACCATAAAAACATTTGGAACTCGGAGGCAAAAACTTAATTTTGGATGCAGTACACCATTTGAGTGGGAGTTCGTAGTCGCCGACGTAACCTTTCCTATCATTGGAATAGATTTTCTTCAACACTACGAATTGCTAGTTGACTCTAGTCACCATAGATTGATAGATACCAGTCGTAAACTATCGATTTCAGGCATCTCCACAGATGTCGAGAGTATTCGCTTGATGGTAGCCACAACAGATCAATTATCCAGGTACGATATTTTGCTAAAGAAATTTCCTGAACTGACACAGAGCGATTACTCCACAGCCTCTCTCAAGCACAACGTTACACACCATATTGTAACTAAAGGTCCACCGGTCTCAGCAAAACCACGTCGTTTAGATCCAGCTAAAATGCAAATAGCAAAAGCAGAATTCAACAGATTATTGGATCTAGGAATAATACGACCGTCAAACAGCCCATGGTCATCACCACTGCATATGGTACCAAAGAAAAACTCAACAGAGATACGACCATGTGGAGATTACCGAGCTTTAAATAAGCAGACGATAGCAGATAGATACCCAATTCCGCACATCCACGATTTTTTCCATAATATGGCAGGTGCTCAGATATTTTCCAAAATTGACCTCGTTCGTGCATACTACCATATACCGGTCGAGCCCAAGGACATCCCCAAAACGGCGGTGACCACTCCTTTTGGCTTATTCGAGTTCGTCCGCCTACCATTTGGCTTGACTAACGCAGCTCAAACATTTCAGAGATTCATTGACCAGGTATTGCACGGCCTCCTATTCACTTACGCTTATATCGATGATATACTGGTTGCAAGTAAATCCCCTGAGGAGCACCAACATCACTTAGAAACACTCTTTAAACGTTTAGCCGAATATGGAATTGTCATTAAACCAAGTAAATGTGAATTCGGTAAGAAAACTATAAAATTTTTGGGACATCAGGTAGACAATCAAGGCATTCGACCAATAGCAGAACAGCTGCAAGTCATAAAAGAATACCCGATTCCAGATTCCTTCAAAAAGTTACGCAGATTTCTTGGTCTCGTCAATTTTTATCGCCGTTTCATTCCTCGCTGTGCACAGCTGGCCCAACCTCTGACAGATCTACTAAAAGGTCATGCAAAATCGCTGCACATGAGTACTTCAGCAATCGAGGCATTTGAAAAGCTGAAACAAACTCTAAGCTCAGAAACTTTACTAGTACGTCGTGACGTCAACGCTCCTATAGCGATTATGACAGATGCATCAGACGTCGCCGTCGGTGCAGTTCTTCAACAATTTTCTGCTGGGAAATGGCAGCCTCTCTCCTTTTTCTCCAAACGTCTAGACGCCACTCAATCAAGATATAGTGCATTCAGTAGAGAATTACTAGCAGTCTATCTTGCTGTTAAACATTTTCGTCATATGGTAGAAGGAATACCGTTTACCATCTACACAGACCACAAACCACTAACCAAGGCCATGAATGCAAAGCACGACAAGTACTCGCCAAGAGAACTCCGACACCTCGAGTTCATTTCTCAGTTCACTTCAGATATTAGATTCATAAAAGGATATAAAAACGAGGTAGCAGATGCGTTATCCCGTATCCATATAAATACCTTAGAAAAAGACCAGTTTGATCTTAAAAATATGGCTAGACTGCAAACTATGGACGAGGATCTGAAAAGAATAAAAAATAGCACGAGTACTTCCTTACGTTTGCAAGATGTTATGCTTGATGAAGGCCTAATTATTACGTGTGATGTTTCCAAAGGTAAACCGCGCCCTTTTGTCCCACTAGAAATGCGAAGATCAGTTTTTTCCAAAATACATGGCATTTCTCACCCTGGCATCCGAGCAACAGTTAAACTGATAAGTGACCGATATGTATGGCCGAATATGAATCGGGAGATTAAACAGTGGGCCAGATCATGTTTAGCCTGCCAAAAGTCAAAAGTACAACGACATACAGTTTCGCCTAATGGACAGTTTCCAGAACCTGATGGTAGGTTCCAACACATACACATTGACATCGTTGGACCATTACCACCATCTAATGGCTTTACGTACATTTTAACGTGTATTGACAGATTTACGAGATGGCCAGTAGCTTGTCCCTTACCTGATATTTCTGCTGAAACCGTTGCAAAGAGCATCGTACAAAATTGGATTTCCAACTTCGGAGTGCCCACCATTATTACTACAGACAGAGGTTCCCAATTCGAAAGCCATTTATTCCAACAACTCACAGAACTACTGGGAATCAAACGTATACGTACTACTGCATATCATCCCAGTTCAAACGGCTTAGTGGAGAGATTTCATCGTCAACTGAAAGCATCATTGATGGCAGTGAAGGACGATGATAAGTGGAGCGATAAATTACCTCTCGTACTTCTTGGAATACGTTCGACAATAAAACAAGATATCAAATGTTGTCCAGCAGAATTAGTTTATGGAACTACTTTACGACTACCTGGAGAATATTTCAACCCAGCTACTGAAGTTCCAACTGACGAAACTACTTTTGTACAACAACTGAGACAACATATGAGCCTTTTAAGATATCACCCACCGCGACATCAGCTCAACCAAGCATACATGCCTGAAAAACTAGAAAATTGCACGCATGTTTTCATACGACACGACGGTGTAAGGAAACCACTTCAACCACCTTATGACGGACCATTCAAAGTAATAAGCAGAACAAGCAAAATCATCACTGTCGAACGCGGAGGAAAACACGAGATTGTAGGCATCGATCGCGTAAAACCAGCTTTCATGGAAATAAAGGTGACTGAATAATAATAATGTATTTCATATAAATTTACAAATTTAAAAAATAAAATTAAAAAAAGCTTCTAAACCACTTAGTTTTTACCTCTACTAATGGCACT